CTAGATTCCACTTTTGGAGCCTAGCAATTAGAAGTTAGGTGTAATGATGCAGAACATAGCCATGTCTAAATTCCTTTAAGGACCTTGCTTTTTAGGTTAGGTGGTCCAGCAGTGTTTCCATTATAACTCCCTGTTTCTTTGAGTTGCTTCTGTTCAAAATAAGATAAAGGCAGCCTCAGATATCCTTACATCTATTGAGTTAAATTCAAACTAGCATTTCATATGAACAGTGTACTAAGTTTGCAAATGATTAACATAGCTAGACTTCCACCACTACACCTTTTTCATTGGGAGCTAACAGCAAAGGAGCTAAAGTGAATTATACATGCCTATTCCAGGGTGACCTATTGTATTTTTCAGGCTCCACAGTGATTGTCTTTTAACAGGGCCACCCTGCTGTTTCTACTGCCTAAGGCACAAGCAGAAAGATATTCACTTCAGCTCCATTTTCCTTAGGATGTACAAGAGTTTCTGCATCCAAAATAGAAAAATCCATCCTTTGAAATTAAATCTGAAATGATACATTCAAAACTTAATTCCATGTAGGGCTTCTTAGAAGATGTATAATCTCACTTGGAGCTCACAAGGGAACACAATACCTTCAGTGTTCCCTAAAGTAAATGGGAACTCTCTGAAGAGCTGAATGAAAATACCACCAGTGTTGTGGGGCATCTTGAACTTTTGAAAAATCAAATCTGAGCAATGAAGGTTTTTGAAAAAAACTCCAGAAAGTAGATGAATTGCTGAAGGTTCTAATTAATTAGTTAACTATAGGTTACTATAGGGAGTGACACTGCTTAATAGCAATGTGGGGAGCAATATAATTATCATGCCTTTTCAATGTTTTGGAGCAAAATGTAGAGTGAAATCTTAGCTTGATGTTGATAGGAATTTTGCCACTGACTTCAGTACATGTGAGGTTTTGGCCATAATCTAGTATCTGTATATTTTCTGATGATTTCCCCAATGAAAATAGGAGGAAAAATTGAAATAACTTTGTTAAACTTTTAAAGTTGAAGAATACCATTGGAGACCAGCTAAACTCTGGGAGGAATAAAAAGATTCAGTAGAGAAAATATATTCCTTAATGCTTTCACTGACATAGGGATAAATTATATAAAGCTGCAGTTAAAAAAAAAAAGAAAATATTTTTTTAAGTTTTCTGTTAAGGGCATCTACATAACAAAGCTGTAGTAGTTTAAGCTTAAGGTTTGTCTGCACTGCCAAAAAGGAAGGATGTGAATTCAAAGCATATTAGCTACACTTTCTAGTTACACTGCTAATGTGTCAACACAGGGAGTCAGTGTAGAATAGCTCATATACTGTAAATTCACACCCGGCCATAAAACCATGCAAGCTAAGTACAGACAATCCAAGGCTTTTTGTACAGACAAAAAGCCTAGGACTGAATCAATTCAATCTTCTCAGGTTAGTATAAGCTGCATAGATTGAACTGATAAGCAAGTGAACAGACATTCACTTTTGATTCCAGAAATGCAGACACAGACACATGCCTCCCTGCTCACCTGGAGATGATAGCTTGGGTCAAGTCACACCCACCCTGAAAGGTGGCAGTTTGCACGGGAGGTGCAAAGCATCCTGGGATGCTGGGGGACTGTCAGTTCACTTGAATCTGGAAGGGACCTGGGACAGAAGTTCAATAAACCAATTTAAGCTAAATCAGTTAAATGTGATACTACATCCATTCAGGTTTATCTTAAACTGGTTTCAGTCATTTTGAAAGCAGTTTATGTGCACTGAACTTCTGGGCTAGGGACAGGCATTCAAAAAGCCTGAGCCTGAATTGATTCAATTTTTGCAGGTTAATCTAACCTTGCTAGGCTAAATTAGTTTGTAACCCAGACAGACATCCCAGAAATGCAGGGACATGCCTGCAGTGGCTTAGGCTAGAAGCTAGGGGGCACTAGAGCAGCCCTCCCTTTGCTTCCACAGAGCAGAGCTGAGGCAGGGGGGAGCCAGGCCTCGGCAGGACACACTGATTATTGCTCCACGCCAATCAATCCAGCAGGGAATGTTTATCATGCCTAACTCAGTGTTTATCAACCCATGTAGAAAACAAAGCCTCTCTCCACTAACTAATGGAGCTCTTCTTAAACAGCTCTTCCAAAGAAAGACATTAAGCTACCTGTTGATTAGCTCCAAAAAGCCTGTCTGCCTCTGTCCTCTCCCACAGCACAGACCGTAGCCAGCATGTGGTCTGCTAGCTAATGCTGAGGTGTCTGTGTAAGGCAGAGGGGAGGGAGGAATAATCCCTGCTTAGCAGGGGGAAGCCAGGCAACACTCTGTACCTGCAAGTCTCTGCCAGAGCTCTAGTCAGGGAGCAGAGGGGAGGGGCCAGCCCTGCTGTGGAGCAGAGAGCCCCACTGTGGCATCTCTAATGGACGCTGTGAGTACCATACCGCCTCTTGGTCAGGGTCCCTCAACTCTTCTGCCACAACTTGTTGTTACCTGAAGAAAGGAGGGGTTCAGTGGTGTTCTTCTTCCCGAGCGACCCGACGATGGGGGTACTCACAGCAGTGCCGCAGTGTTCCTTGGGGCTCCACCTCCCCTACACCCCATCCACTCTCCAACTGCTCTGGTGTTCTGCTCGTGGTTCCGCCATTCCCAGCAAGCCCCCTTTTAGGTAGTCCCAGCAAGTCCTCTGAGTGCATCTGTGAGGGGTGCAGCAAGCTCCACAAAGTATGGTATAAACCTGCAATAGTAGTTGATGAGCCCCAAGAAGGACCAGTGTTGACAACAGTTGCGCAGCTCTTGGAAATGGAGTATTGCCTCCACTTTGTCCACAAGGGGTTGGATATCTCCCTGGCCTACACAAAACCCCAGATACTTGGTCTCTGTAACCGCCAGTTTACCTTTTTTTGGATTGGCAGTCATCCCAGCCGCTTTGAGCTCTCCCGGGATGGCCCTCAGGGCATCAAGGTGTTGTGGTCAATCCGGGGTGAAGATGATTATGTCATCAATGTATGCAGCCGCGTATGCTGTGTGTGGTGCCAGCAGGGAACCCATAACCTCGGGAAGGTGACTGCAGCTCCATTCAGCCCGAAGGGCATTCATACAAACTCAAATAGGCCCCAGGGTGTTCCGAAAGCTGTCTTGGCACAGTCAGCTGATCTCATCGGGATTTGTCAGTACCCTTTGGCTAAGTTGATAGTAGATATATACCTCGCTTCCCCAATTTTCTCCCTGGGGAAAACCACCTCTGAATGCCTGCCTTTCCCATTTAAGTGACTCATGGGAAAAGGAAGCCCTTCCATCACCCATTTCTCTACCCCTTAGGAGCCTAAGGAGTTGTCAGCTGTGGAAAGAGGGAAGAGAAAGTGCTCAACATCTCATGATTGCCCTGCCCCCTTCTATCTACTTTTGAATCAGTCATGGTCTAGTTTGTCTTCTGCCCATCTCTTCCCTTTCACCTCACCATCATAGAACTACACAGCCAGGGCAGGAGAAAGAGAAGGAAGAGGATAGATATAGAACTGGAGCACTCTTCCCATAGGCCTGGGAAACATGACCATACTGCAGCTGTCACTGTCATCTTGGAAGAAAGAAGAGTAGACAAAACAAAGGCGTGCTACAAGGGGGTAGGAGGGAGAGAGTGAAATGAATAGCTGTGCGGAAGAGTGGATAGCTACAGGGTTGGGCATTCTTTATCTACCCTCACCCATATACTTCATCGAGCTTTGGACAAGTTTCATAGGACTAGATGCAAAAAAAAAAAAAGACTTCGGCATTGTGGTCCTATGCATTTCCTTGCCTAACTTTTAAGTGCCTGCCTCCTGAACTGGAACCCGCAGTCCTGAACTAGGCCCTGAACTCCTTATACATTTTAGGGTATGTCAGTAAAACTTTTGTGGTGCTTCCAAGAGCTTGCTGTCTCATGACTGGAACAGGGTGTTCTTGTCACAAGTCCTGGAATGCTCCAAAAATGTATATACAGATGAGGCTCAGAGCACCCTGGTCCAGCTTTACCTCCTGGAGGCTGGGAACACACTAATCATATGCTACAGGCTGAGAGAGGGGGTGACAGAGGGATTCTGGGTGAACTGTTTGGGACCCCATTTGGTGATATTTGCCAGATATTTAAGGCTGGTGAAGATACAGGACTCAATGGAAATGAGAAAGAAAGGCGTAGTTCAGCTGTGGGAATGAAGAAGTCAAAATGTATGTAGTGTAGTGGCTCACCATGACTTGAAAAAGAGTCAGCACTGAGGTGAACTGTACTTAATAAACACTATTTTATATCTTCTTCAGATGGCCTGTAGTAATCTATCCTTATGCTAAGTTCCTATCAGCATTTTTGTCCAATATGGGCCATGTATTTTATGGCCATGCTTAGTGTTGGCTGCATTTAATCAAAACTTCAGTTTCTATTACTGAGCATATGCTGCTTTTGGCAGTAGTTTACTGATAGACAGTGTATTTGATAAGGTTTTCTGAAATGCACATATAAGACACGGGACTTTTTCCCCATCATGATTAGAAGGAAAAACCTCATCTTGCATTTAAGTAAATATGATAAGTTGTATTTGTAAGACTAAATGGTTCTGTTGGACTGGTAGTACTGAGAGGGTTCTGTTTTCTCTTACTATTTTTGTCTAACTTTTCAAGATAATGTGGCTATGAGGGAATGGTTCTATAGGGAAATGTTTTAGATCATCTGTTGATGTATATAATGTTATGCATAAAACTTGAAAGAACCCTCACAAGGCAACTGGTTCCTTCAATACTGTCCCTTTTATTGCAGTTTTTAATATTACTAATTTATCTAGCAGCTTTCATCCTGAAGGGTCTCTAAATACTTTTTTAGGGTCTATACACTACTCTTGATCTCACAGTCCCAACTCAAACAGTGACTTGCATAGGAGGAAGAACATCAGGAAAATTCCTCTTTTTGTCAACAACTCCCTTTACTCAACTCATGTACATATATGTGAATGATTGGGGTATGTTCATTAATATCTTCTGTAATGTATTTCTTTCAGACATCATTGTTCTCATCGCTTCAATAGCAGTTGTTTCTGCAAAAACTCAGGGTAACATTTTTGCAACATCAGCACTGAGAAGTCTTCGTTTCCTACAGATCCTCCGTATGGTGCGCATGGACCGAAGAGGAGGGACTTGGAAATTGTTAGGTTCAGTAGTGTATGCACATAGCAAGGTAAGTACCCCTGCAGTCCAATTCATTTATCTTTCACCTGAGGTAAAAGGGGATCAGACTTTATCGTACATCAACTCTCCCATAGTAACTGCTGATATGCATACTCTTACCCCACTCTAGTGAAAACCAAACTTCAGTAACTTTGCTTTCAGTGAAAAAGGGGAAGTTGCTATGGTTAAGCTTCCATTTACTACAGGGTAAAGTCCCATCCCTTCTCCTCCTCCCTCCACCCCCCTCCCCCAGTAAATTATTTTTATGTCAATACCCTAGTCATGGGAATTAACTAGTTAATTAACTAGTTAAAAAGTTAAAGAAATGGCTAACTTTTAACTTTAATTAGTTTTTAAAAAGCTTAACTTTAACTTGTCTTAAAGTATAAATTAAAAGTTAAATAAAATGAAATCCAGCTTTCCCAGAGATTTTCCTGACACATCCACTCTCTAGGACTTGCATAGAATGATATTTCTTTATTGAAACGCTAGGATTTCTTGTTTGAGGGTCAGAGAGTAGTGTGCCTTCCTATGAGATATGGTCTCTTAAGAACTACAAGTCCCAGAGTTCTTTAGTTCATGCTGGCATTTTCTGTGCATTTACAGAAGTCAACAGGGTAGCCAGTTGGCTGCAGGAAAGGGAACAAGCATTCCTTTATCTCCCTATGTAGAATGATTGTTCAGTAGTGGGGGCTTAGTCTTGCAAGACGGAAGAGGAAAATTGTCAGATGTAAATTTTGAAATGCAGCTTTACTGAAGTTCAATAAGCATGTTTAAACAGTTTCTGCTGTGCAGCTGAACATTCTTTTTCTCATTTAAACTGATTTTCTCATTTCAGTCTAATTTTTTATTTTCATACATTTTCATTATTTCTAATTCAGATGTATTTCATACCCTTTTGTTACCTTTTGAGCAATAAAAATTGTAACAACAGAGGTTTTTTTGTGGAAACAGCTTACATTTGTCACCTGGCTATGAATATCTCCTTTCTGTTATTCTGGTATACCTATATGATGCATTAACTTTTACAAAGTACTTCACATGGAGAGGGTGAGAAGGATCTAACATTACATAGGTATTGGTAAATTGTTATTCTGAAAACCCTATGACAAGTATAACACTGTTTTCAGCTAAAGCAGGGTGAGTTCTGAGTAAATTAGTGTGCTTCTGTGGGCTTATGGAAAAGAAACCCACTCATTGCATTTGAAAATGAAAAATGATGCTAAGAGGTAATTCACTGTGTTTCACACATTTCTCATGAATCAACTTAACTTTTAACTGGTTACTCTCTTTTTAACTTACCTTTAAACTAGTTGCAAGTGGAAATACTTAATTTTTAACTTAAGTTCATTTTAAAGGTTGCTAACTTTTAACTTTAACTAGTTACATTTTTCATAAACTTTTTCCACGACTGTTGATTGATTACTTCAGTGGATCCAACTTGAGCCTAAGGGAAAAAATATTATCATATTCTAATAAATACCTGAAACTTCCTACAGTAATGTTGGCTGTCTTGTCTATTATTAAGATGCATTTTTTTCAGGTTCAGTTGTACTTTTTAAAAATAAGATAAAACATTGGGCTGTTTTATTACCAGTCTTATGCTGCTGTAATTCCACTGAAATCAGTGGAGTTACACAACTCTTTAAGTGAAGTGGTTAATCAGTGGTTGTTCAGAGGCTATTTATGACAAAAAGGACACAATTGATTTTTAAATGCTAATGATAGTACATAGATTGTTAAATGTATCTGTTTAATCTTTTTAGTAGATATTGATCCTTACTTTCTTTTATCTAGGAACTAATCACAGCCTGGTACATAGGATTTTTAGTACTCATCTTCTCATCTTTTCTTGTTTACCTGGTGGAAAAAGATGCAAATAACCAGTTTTCTACTTATGCAGATGCTCTCTGGTGGGGCACAGTAAGTATACAAGCTAATATATTAGATTGCATTTAAATGATGTTATATTACCATCATTCTGATTCTCCAGCACTCTCTACCTTGAGTAGTTGAAAAATGTATGTAAATTCTATCATTGTAAAATAGTAGCATTTTACATCCATTGTGTGCTGTTGTAAAACCCCTGATTTAATAAAGCATTTAAGGACATGTTAACACAAAATTCCCTTGCCTCTGCTTTGGTGAAGTCTGTGGATCTTAAGGACATGCCTAACTGCTTTTCTGAATGTTGTAGGCTTATCATATACTCAAATGTTTGGCTGGATAAGGGCATGATTAACCTCACAGGTTATATGGTGATAGAGAATCAGAAGTAGATATTGCTTGAAGTTTATTCCTACTTCTTCCTTTTGATCTTAAATCTGGTGAAATCCCACCAGATTAGCTTTGCTTACATGATTTCTAGTTTTTCTGTTTCCACTGGGATGAGAAATACCAGAAGGCAGTGAGGTACTCCTTGGCCCATGGCTAAGTATTCCTCAGGCAGCTCAGGGAGGCTTCCCTCACACTAACAAGGCAGCTACTTATTCACCTGATCTAAGAGAATTCCCAGGTGATGTAAAGCAGCACTTTTATTCCTGTTGATGCAGTGAACACCTTGTGGTCCAGAAATACACAGCCAGTACCTTTGAGATCATCAGTGCTAACATAACTTAGAGTGCCTTTGGGCTGCAAAAGGTAAGTCTGGAAACTAAACTAGCCTCTGACCTCAGATCCTATGCTGGTAGGATCTCACCTAAACCTCTAGGTTTGGTTCTGTCTGTCTTCTGCTTCCACTCTTGATCCTAGTCAAAGTAGTCATGCTAAGTAAAGCAAAGGAAATCAAAACAAATGTCCAACTTCTTTTGTACCTTAAAGATTGGTCTTTTTAAGTTTTGCTTGTGTTTTGAGCAAAGGAGTAGGTTGCTTTCTGTTACGGGCTGTCAGACTTTTTAGTGGCCATGTTCCTCGGACTGCCTGCTACACAGGCTGCACACCATGTGCCACACCATGTTGCATGGGCATCTCCCACCACACTGTGCTGTATGGCCTCCCCATTGCACCCCTGCTGCATTGCAGGGGTCTCCCTTTGGGTGCCTTCGCACTGTACCATGCCAGCCTTGTGGGCCTTGCAGTCCCAGTGTGGCCCAAAGAGTGGGCAAGAGAACCTGGAGGAGTGAAGGGGAGCCCAGAGACTCCAGCATGAGCAGTAGGGGACATGGCACCTAGAAAGGGAGCCCAGGGGGCCACAGTTTTCTCTCTGGGGCTGCCTGCAGCTTGTGAGCCAACAGTTGGACAGCTCTGTCCTATTATACAAATCTGTTCACCTATCCTAAGATTGTACATTCTACATATGCTAGCCATTCCTCCTTAGAGTTGTGTTTTATAGCGATCAGTGTGTAGAAATGCAAGCTTAGGATATGCAGAACCCAAAGTATATATCAGTTGCATAGGGTTGGTTACAAAAGATATGGAACTGTTTTGCCTAAAGAGATTTGTTGTGAGATGTTCACACCAAGAAAAAATAAAATATTTTAAGGTTTGATCTTGTAATCCTGATCAGGAGAAACTCCCATTGAATAAAAGCTGTAAACTATTGGGTGTTAAGAGATGTGCAGCTCCCCGCTGTAACTCATGGCACTTCACGTTCACTGTTTGGTCGAAGGGATGAGGGGGATCAAGTTTGAGTGGCCTCCAATCCCCACCTCCTCCCCTCCAGCACAGACTGGGTAAACCCCAGACCAGAGCTCCCTCCCCTCTCCCTCCCACCTCCCATCCTGCAGACAGCACTTGGGAGTGGGACTGGGCTGCATCAGACCACCCCCGATTGGTACAGGGACAAACAGAAGTTAATGAAGGTGCTCCACGTTGGATGCCTTCATCTGAACCCTCATTAAAAGAGGATTAATTTGTCACATGATCAGACACTTTTAAAGTGCTCTGTAGCCATGCAGTTCTGTCAAAGCACAACTGTAGAGAGCTTTCAAGGGGCTGATCATGCGACAAATATCATTTCTGTAATACCCATTATGTCAAAGTCTGAGACATCAGCAAAAGTTTCTCTAGTTTAATGTAACTGAAAGCAGAATTTGGCTCATTCACTGAGAGTTTGACAACTTTAGGATTTTTTGATTGGTTTCATAGTTAATACTACAGTGTGGCTCTAGCAAAATCAAGCCTCACTTCTGATGTCAGACCCAAGTAGGTCTATCTGAACAGATCTAACTGCATGTTTTTGTAATTTTCTTGATTGCTTCCCACTGAACAGTATTTTACATGGAAAAACATTGTCCAAAATGGTGGCTTAAAATACTTTGTATACTGTGAAAATGAAAATGGATGACTCATACACTGGATAGGTTCTGCAAACTGAGAAAACAGGAATCTTTTCTTGGCATCAACAGAAAAACAAATTATAATAAAAAACCCTCTGAAAACAGCCTATTATCATATATTTTTTCTTCTTTTTTTCTTTGCTGCTTGGGTGACACGAACACATTTAAATTCTTAACACATTCAGGTGCATATACTTACAAAAATTAATATATCCCCCAAACATCTTTCTTGTTTCCCTTTTAATGATAATAATTGCTGTATTATATGTAAAACAGTATGTGGGAAATGCTTAATGAGTTCATTAGTCATGCTTATTGCTATTGCCAGAGTAACCCACATACAGATTTTGAAAAGGTCAGATTATATGGCATTCTGAGGGGAATCGGCTCTTAGCCTCACTGGTTTATTTATTTGCAGCAGTTATTCTGACTTAAATTACATTGTACAGAATGGTTTTTGATGGTACTGTAAAAAATAAAATGGGGGTGAAATCAGTAATCAATCCTCTAGATCTCAAGCTTCTGGAAAAAAATTGTAATGCCTTTTCATCATACCAAGCAATTAATTACATACCATGTAATTAATTGGCACTAATGCATTCATTAAATCAAACTCTCTAAGGGCCCTGTCCTGCCATTATTCCACGTGATGCTCTTTTTGAAGGCAGTGGGAGTTTTGCATTGAAATCAAAGGCAGGATATGACAAAATAGCTCAAAATACAAATAATATAGCTAGATTTCTAGTCTGTGACTCCAACATAATGTTAATGTGGGTATTCTTATGGCTAGAATCTCTGTCTTATAATCAGTGTTATGTGTTTATTATGTGCAGGATTCAATGAGTCAGGGTCCTTTGAGAGAATGGTAAATTAATTTACTAAAAAAACCAATTAATTTAAAATACTATGTATAATATGGGAACAGAGATGAAGGGCCATACCTTAACTTAAATAGTTAATAACCAAATAATTTCCAAACATGCTATGCACTATTTAGGGGTGTGTTTATGGCAATAAAATTGTACAGTAATTAGTTTTACCTGAGCACATAATTTAGCACGATGCATAAAAGGCTCCTTTCCAGGGTTTCTTCCAGCTCCTTTTCCAATAGTACACAGTAATTAAATAGAATAAAGAATGTCATAGGCATCCAGTAGCATCCATGCTAATGCCATGCAATCTCATAATGAACTATGTTTTTGTACTTTGGTGTAGTAACTCCATTATTACACTTTGGCATAATATTGCCTTAAAAGCATATTGGGGCTAAGCACATTTAGTATTACATTGAATACTAAATTAATCAGTATTGATAATATATTACCCATTCAACACCATCAGAAACTTCAGCAAGTTTATTTTTTTAATTGTCACAGAATGTAGAGACTGAAAAACATTTATGAGGAAACAAATCAATTTATTTGATTAATAAAACACAGGATTGGAAGGTACCTCCTGGGTGAGCTAGTCCTGTCCCCTGCAATTGCAGGCAACTAGGGCATATCAACTTGTTCATAAACTTATCAAGCTGTCTCTCCCTGTATAAAGTTTGTATGTATCTGATCATAACTATCTAGTTTATTAAAAACCAAATATAGCAATGGGTTATAATGGAAAGGAAAATCCTACCTTTGGAACTTTAAATTATAGTGTCATTTTAGGGCGATCAATAAATGTGTGCTGGGCTGTTTAGTCATGGTGACAATCTAACCTGAACAGTTGTCACTATTTTGTTAGGAGGGTGTTGTTTTTATTCTACAGCCTGACCTTGAAGGTCAACTGAAAAATGTTTTCCACTCACTGACTATTGAAATATAAGAGAAAAATCATGTCCTGTTATCTAGTACTGTTAGGAGATATGGTTTAGAGTTAACAATTTCATGTATGGTGTAACAAGCATCCTACTGAAGCAGGGAAGGAGCACTCAAGGTGGTAGGGAGACACTGACACTCTTAATCATATGGTAATATTGTCACATTCTCAAGATGTGATGGGGTGGACGGAGTTACTTAAACATGACTTTACTGTTTTCTATAGTGACTGCTGTTCTTTGTGGATGATTTTCAGATGTCAAGTCCCAAATGGTTCAGAAATTGTCTCTGAATTCTTGACAAGATTGTTATGTTATAACGTCCCTAATATGCAAATGACAGTCAGCTCTCTATTTCTTTCATATCAATCCCAGATGGAGACATCTTATTCTCCAGTGTCTGGCAGAGACAGAAAACTGAATGAAAGCCAGTTGTCTTAGGCTCGGTCCTGATAAAACAGGTTGTTGCTGATTGGCAGGGAGAAGAATTTTGAAAAACTAGGAAATTCAATAAACATACATACATAGGAAGGTATTTGTCCGCCTTATTCAAAATAGTTCATATTCTTGGGGTTTTATTAGCCTCACAATAACTCTTGAGAACAGAAACTAGAAATACGGGGCTTTTTCAAATGTTGTCAGGCCCAAATGCCTATGGACTTCACCATAGGCTAATTCTAGAGCAGGATGACATGAGATCCTCTTAAGCAGGCTCATCCAACATGTGGCCCGTGGGCCACCATTCGGCCCTCCAAGCTGTTTTCTGGGGCCCGAGGTGCTGCGACAGGAAACGAAAGTAAACACTGTACTTTCGTTTCAGGGGGGTGATGTGATAC